CAGTCGTGCGTCGGAGCTGACACACACAATTTTTTTTAATTTTGTAAATTGATTATTCGTATAATTATAATGAAAGTTATTTTCTAGGTAAAATTCAACTCGACCCATGGTGCAGTGTAACGATATGGCGCTGCATATCAGCTTAAAATATTTAAAACTTCCTTTATAGTTATAGCTACTAACGGGATTGTTACCATATACCTTGTTTTTTATGAGTCTCCGATATTTCGGCACTGTTGCAAGCGCCATGATCACGGAGTAACTGAAGTAATTGCGGCTAGATATTATTGGCAGACATATCGGTCTACCCTCTGACGTCGTCTTTTACTGCGCTCGATACCCCTACCACTGGTACTTTAAAGGTCCTTATACAATAGGGGTGATGACGGGGTACAGTAAACGAAATTCTATTTAGTCCGTCAGTTACATTATTAAAAAATAATGGACACGTATTTTTTCTTTGGGCAATCAACCAAAAAATGACAAAGTTATAGCGCGTCAAAGTTTGGGAGTAGGGGCTCGTGACGTCACTTTTGAATGAATTTTCACTTATAAGTGTACTCAAACGTGACGTCATGCGACTTTTCAAATCAATATATCTCTGCAATGTTTATATATAATGAAAAAAGAAAAAATACATGTATAATAGTTTTTGATAATCTACCCGATAAACGAAGAAAAAAAATAGTCATCATCCCTGCCCGAATAAGGTTTAGAAAAATTATAATTTTTATTGGTAAAAATTATATTCAGATACAAAAACCAAGCAGTGAAACGCTTAAATAAACATAATTATAACACTATTAATTATTTTTATTCACACTTACAAAACCAGTAGGAATGCGCTATTAGAACCCGCATCTCTCTTATCTAATGACAAGCATTATAACATAAATTATATGTCATATCCGACCGAGTTTAAATGATTTCAACACTTAATTTAAACATTTCCTCTCTGTTCTAATTATTATACTAACAGCTGTATCTCAACTGGTACACGTTGTATACAATACCGACCACGCACTATGGGAACTGTTATAGTTACAGTCGCCGACAAAATTGTTTTGAACATTTAAAAAGCAATCGAAATTAAGAGGGAGGCGGGCATTGTTTTTTTCCATACAAACGTTCTCCATTGATTCCTGCTTAATTCATAAATAAATATAAACAAAATATAATTTTACACGTTCTATGCTCCAATGTCTTCCCTTTTTCGGTAACTTGTCGTTAAATTTATTATATCGAATAATTATATATATTCGTTTTCTATTGTCTATAGTTTCAAAGCTACTAATAGTTCATAAACTGCATTATTTACATGTGGTTTTTAGTTTGTCTTTCTGTTTGTTTATTTAATTAAAATTCGGTCCATTCGTACTGTCTCTTAAGCATGATATGGCTACCTTCAATAGAATTTTGCATTTTTTATGTATCACTATAATGTTTTAAAATAACATTTAATGTAACTTTCTCTGGTGGTCCTAATAAATAAATAAATAAACTTGTGTTTCAAAATAACAAGAAGCCCTCCAAAATGCCAAAAATAAACACATTTTTATCACCACTTTAGACGTCTAGTGTGAAAATTCAATGGCCTATAACAATTTATTATTGTATAGGTAAAAAATATTTTACATATATCTTATTCTCGAGGAGGAAATCGCCGTCGCCTAAACCTCAAATTTTGCAGTTATTATAAGCAATTTTCAGCGTTGTACTGTTTTTTCTATTGCACTGTATTTGCCAATTCGTGACGGCAATAGTTTTTTCAAAAAAATGTTTCTCACGCTCGCATCTCTCAAAACATGAAAATAAATTAAATGAAACACCTTTAATAAGCACAATCTAACTAGCCAAATATTTAAAACTATAAAAAAATAAAAATGTTAAATATAGAAATGTTGCCGTGTCTAACATAAAAATGAATTTTGTTTTCGCTATATCGATAAAAAAATAACGATGTCCCGTAAAAAAAATATCGATTGAAATATCCTGTTCACCGATACATGTTCTCGGTGGTGCTAAATGGTACCTACAAAATATTGGGCCCGCAGACAGGAGTAAGCAATTAACACGTGTCCACCGCGTCATCGCCATGGCAACGCGCGCGTTCCACACACCGCGTTAAACAAACTAATTGGCCACCGCTTTTATCGCCGATTGTACTATTTTATGAATGCACATTAATGAATGGACGAAGTAACCTAATTGATGAATGAAAATTTAATGCGAACTATGCAACTATTAATTTAAATTCGTTTGTTCAATTACAACTGTGATGAGTTGGGCCGCCGAAAGTTTTTCTCCGTTTTGGATAATGTATGGAGGAAGCATGGGTTGGATTCGCAAACTTTGTTTTCAATAAATACATATGTATTAACGAAACGAGAACGTAAAACTATTTGTTCAGATCTGTGGAGAGATATGGAGAACACGCAAACTTGTATACCGAAACCTTGATTATTATTTTCTCGATTAATAAATTGCATTCGTGTGAAGCTGGGACGAATCTCTAGTATACAGGGTGTAAAAAAACCTATATTTAAAGACTAAAACTACGCATTCTGTACACCCAAACAAGTATTATACGTGGAAATCATTTGTATTTTTAAGTTAAAAAAATACATTTTAATTCTAGTCCGCAATATATAGCGCAGCGCGCTACTGTGGGGCTACGCAAACAATGTGCGTGTGTGTAAGTGCGTCAATAAAAAGGTTTCTAAATACCGTTTTTGTAAAAATCTAGAAAAAAATATTCTGACTTTGATCTTCAATATCTCCATAACCATAAATTTCCCAGATATAGTCCAGAAGAAAAGAATGATCGTTATGATGTGGAAAATACGTGGCCTTCGACTTCGTTAAATGTTTTTTTACACCCTGTATAATGAAATTCGAAGAAAATGTAATATAAAAGAAATATGTAAGACTTTAAACACTCTTCTATGCACATCAACGTGTATATCAAATCAAATTCACAAACCTATTTATCATAATTTGCCCCTGTTTGGCTTTTGTTTATCATGTCTTATCCGGCGTTTCCACTTTAGTGTTCAGAACTGTTTTGAGCGAGCAAACATTTGTTCGCTCGGCGAATGTTGATGATGATCAGAGCGGTTCACAAGGTCGTTCAACGACGAAGGGCTGTTTCCAAACGAGCAAATGTTCGCTCGTTCATCGTTCAATGGAAACAACTTTGTAGGTTTGCGAGCATATAAACTTTTCAGAGCAATTGTTCTGAATATTTGTTCATGTGGTTATTATGGTGAAAGCAAGTACTAATTGTTTTGAGCAAACATTTTGCTCTGAGCAAATTTGCTGGAATCGCGATCGTTAAGGATTTCAGGAGCTTGATGGCGCGAAAAATTAGCTCGTTCGGCTGCGATCGTTGAAATTAAGCAACTTTCGCAGTGGTCGGTCATTGGATGGGTGACCAAAAGTAACTATCTCGAGCTCCTTCGTGCTTCTGAAGGCACGTTAAGCGGTTGGTCCCGGCTGCATCTGCAGTCGTTAGTACCCACCAATCCGCACTGGGCCCGCGTGGTGGGTCATGGCACAATCTCCCTATTCCATCCATAGGGAAGGCCTGTGCCCCAGCAGTGGGGATATTAATAGCTGATGATGATGATGAAATTTGCTGAACCTAAATTTGTTTACTTGCAGCTTTGGGTATCATAAATATCACCCACCAATCCGCACTGGGCCTGCGTGGTGGGTCATGGCACAATCTCCGTATTCCATCCATAGGGAAGGCCTGTGCCCCAGCAGTGGGGATATTAATAGCTGATGATGATGATGAAATTTGCTGAACCCAATTTTGTTTACTTGCAGCTTTGGGTATCATAAATATTCACGAGAGATCTATGCCCAAAAGTTATTAGAATTATGCTCAAACAACAACCATCAAACTATTTTTTGCGTCTTTTCCCTGAAGCTTATTAATATTAAAAGTACAGTACGATTATGGAACTCATTGCCAGAGACCATTGGAAGGGCTCGCACTCTGAACTCTTTCAGGGATCAAGTTCGGAGTTATTTCCTATCCCAACAATTATGTTAAATTTTTACTTCTTCGTTCCTTCGTTTTTCCTGTCATTGATATCATTATGTTTTTTCTATAACACCCCTCCTTATCTCCTTCATATTTATTTATCTTTCTTTTAAGGGTTGCCTGGAAGAGATTGCTGCCTAGCAATAAGGTCGCCTATATTGTGTACCATCTATTTATCATGTTTTAATTTACTTGTGTGTTTTTCTATGGTGTATAACAATAAAGATTATTATTATTATTACTAGCTGACCCGGCGAACTTCGTACCGCCTTAGCGTAGCTTTGATGCACTACTTTATTTTATATAGCTGACCTATCTTATGTATGAGTACCTATATTTTTAGCGCGGTTATGGATGTGTTGTCACAGATTACCACAATTTTTTTTGTTTTAAATTGAATTACGTTGACATTTGTCAGCGCGGTTATCGATGTGGTGTCACAGATTACCACAGATATTTTGTTTTAAATTGAATGACTTTGACATTCGTTACGTTATATTTTTCAATCTTTCTGAGAGATTTTCTTTATATTTTTTTCCGTAAGAACCTTGTACAGAGTATTAGAAAACTACAAAAAAAAATCAGCCAAATCGGTCAAGCCGTTTTCATGTTATGTCGTGACAACGGAAAACGGGTTTCATTTTTATATATATAGACTAGCGGACCCGACAGACGTTGTCCTGTCTAGTATGGTAGCGCCGTCTGTCGGATCCAATGTAAAACATCAACAATCAACAACTACTAATAAATTAAAAATTAATTAAAAAAACATTGTCCAGCGGACAAAATTGTGAATCTAAACCATTCTCAGATCCCCTTGAACACACACAAAAAGTTTCATCAAAATCGGTCCAGTCGTTTAGGAGAAGTTCAGTGACATACACACTCACAGAAGAATTATATATATAAAGATATAGATTATTGAAACATATTTTTCCCTTGTTTACAGGCATGCTGAGATCCACATACGACCGGCCAGATCACGAACGTGAGTACCAGCTTTTAACAACAACCATACATTACGCACACACCGCCCACAACCACTTGTGTGTCCGACTATCCATCGTCGGGATGAATGAAAGCATGAATAAAAAAAAAGTTTGCAAAAAGATCGCAATTCTCATAGAAAAGCCCGTTCTGACATAATAGCCATCAATTTTTTCCATCCGACGGACACGATATTGAGTAAATCCATCACTCTTCCACGGGAATACGCTTAAATCCCTTACCAACGGTTGCCGATGTCGAATGAATAGTAAGGTATATGCCTGAGGACATAAAAGACACGCTAACCCTTTGTTCGTCACCTCTTTAGCTACTGTAGTTGTCAAGGAATACGAAGTACGTAACTCAGTTCATGACAGGAAGCTTATCTTATTTTATTTTTTTATTTTATTTTATTCAGGACAAAAAACAGTGGTACAATTCTCATTAAACAAATAGTATTGTAATACAGGTGACACCTTAAATTATTATACGACCAACTTCGTTATCCACTAATTAGAACAAAATACATATTTATGCGCTTAAGATTTTCTATTAATACAGTAGACACCAAGAAATTAACAGAATATAAAGTTAGTAACTGAAAATAATAACATGACCTATCAATCAAACCACTGTGCTAAAGTAGTTAAATCCAGCCGGGGTGCAAGTCTAACCGATGTATATCTAGTATATTATATGTATAAACATTCACTTAGATACTTCTGAACCAACTGAAGTGACACTTTTTTTGTATAATTATTAACTTTTCATCTTGTTACTGTTACAAACAAATACTGCATAATAATATCACACATTTAACAACTGAGAATTATTAAGCACTAGCTTTGCCCCACGATGTTACCCGCGGTTTATTAGGGATATTTTCCCGTATCCTACGTGTTAATCCAAGGTAAACTTATGTATGTATATGTATGTTTCTATGTATATATATATATATGTGTGTGTATGTATGTGTGTATTATATGTGTGTATTCTGTTAAGAGCATTTGTATCCTTGGTTTATCTTACATTTGTCTTTATTGCGCCCCCGTCATATTAGTTTTTTCTCACGCTCTTACTGGTCGACTGGTAGAGAATGCCTTATTAGGCATTATGTCCGACATTTGCTGTGTTATGTTGCAATAAAGTTTAAATAAATAAATCCAAGGTGTCAGCTAACTCCATAAAAAATAATATTAAAATCGTTCCAGCCATTCAGACATGAAGAAGTAACAAACATACACACTCACACACTCACGAACTTTCGCCTTTATAATATTAGTTTTATTTCATACAACGTTCTCGTTCGCGTACACAAGTTAATCCACCGTGTGAGAATAATTAGTAAGGGTTTCGTTCGGAAATAACTGTACGCTTCCCTCCGCTAGCCGCCGCGCCGGTCGTCAAATAAATCAAGGGAATTTGCATTCCCGACCATCGCCAAATTGGTGAAAAACTTTACCATTGTTGCTCTGTTACTGTTATTGACCATGTATTTCGACGATTTATCTTTAAACTGAATCTTCATGACAAACAATATGGCAACGTTATAGTAATATAAGTTATTTACGGGATTGTTACCATGTACCTTGTTTTTAGCGAGTTTCCGATATTTCGGCACTGTTGCAAGAGCCATGATTACGGAGTAACTGAAGTACATGGTAACAATCCCGTAAATCTATCTATCTATATATATAAAACTCAAAGGTGACTGACTGACATAGAGTTCTATCAACGCACAGCCCAAACCACTGGACGGATCGAGCTGAAATTTGGCATGCAGGTAGATGTTATGACGTAGGCATCCGCTAAGAAAGGATTTTGATAAATTCTACCCCCAAGGGGATAAAATAGGGAATGAAAGTTTGTATGAAACTTTGTCAATTTTAAACCGATCGGGCTGAGACTTTGTATGCAGGTATAATAAGAATCATAGATGAATGTCATTGTGTATAATACAAGCCTAAAACTGTAGTCCATACTTCATAGTGTTAGTGACCATGAAAGTTTAAAACAATATATAATATGACAACGATATATTAGAACCAAAAAAAATATTGGAAATCAAAGAAAAAGTTTGCTTTCACTACTTAAATTAAGTAAAGATATTGTTTTCTGGCAAATGTCTTTAAAAACGTTGTCAGACAGAAGTTTTTAAATACCAATTCGTATTTGTACGTCGGGTTTCATGGTGTCCCCGACAAGAGAGGTCCCGGGTTCGAATCCCGGTGGGGGCAGATGTTTGTGTGATGAATACGAGCATTTGTACTACAGTCATGGATGTTTATTGCGTATTTCTATATAAATATACTTATATATGTACAGTATATGTATTCTATCCGTTACCCTAGCATCCCATAACACAAGCCTTACAGTGCTTACTTTGGGGCTAGGCTAATTGGTGTGAGTGTTGGAAATATTTATTTATTATTTATTATTATTACTCGGTGGTAATAACCACCTTACCGCACTTCTATCATAAATAACTATTAGAGCATTCAGCATTCGTTATTGTTTCATTACACATCTACATAGTTAATTCCAGTTCAAATAACGTCGAAGCTATACCCAACTTACTCCGATGAATGTTAAATTTAATCTCCTATATTAGATGAATGTTGCCAGCTAACTGGATGCGTTCGGTACCCACGCCTGGATGGCTATAGACAAACTGTGGAGGAGTTGCGCCGCCATACTTGTTCAGAAGTGGCGTGCTCGTTCCACCGAATCATTCTATTACACACAAATCTAGTTCACTTTAGTGTAGAAACATAATTAGAACTCGAAGAAAAATAGTTTTCATACAACAACTGAATGTATGGAAAAACCAAGGTGCCAGCGAAAACGAGAAGAGAGATACATTCCCATTACGGTAGATAGCATCAAAACCAAATAAAAAAACTAGCTACTCGTAGTTTATGAATAATCTAAAATAAAATATTTTTTTTAACTTAATTGCTCAAATAATGCATTTACGGAGGTTGTATACATTATGCGAAAATTCAAAATTACGGTTCATACAACGAAGCGTGCGGTAAAATGTTTTACAGTATCCTTTACGGCTTTTTTTTATTTCGATCGAACCTTCTTAGGAAGCGATTTGAATACCTATACCTTTGTCTCACTTTTATACTAAAAAGAAATAGAGATGAAAGATGTAGTTGTAACTTCGACGACACGCACCAGGCGCCATTTGGAAATGCACGCCATTGATTTAGTAAGAAAAAGTTTACTTTTTTACTTAAATTAAAAACCTTAAAAAATATAATATAATAACTAAAATATATTACTAAAAGGAATCCCTTTAGGCAAGGTTCCGAAGATACTGGCAGCGTTCCCCCTTTGAATAGCTAAGTATATATATTATATATTTTAGTTAATATATTATATTTTTTAAGGTTTTTAGTTTAAGGTTCATTGTTCCTGTATATATTAATGTATATATAAACATCAAATATATTCGTTCTCGCAAGGCAGTTCTAGATACTGTTAAAAATGTATCATAATTTCACCTCTAATGTGACCATGGCTATATTTGGAATTCGTTTTCAATATATCTTAAATTAAATATAGGTACTATTTTCTCGCAAATGTATGACATTCCTGCGGATTGTCATTTATAAACAGTCGTCTACCCGTTTTGTAATAAAAAAAAATGGGTGCGTGTACTTATGTAGGCGCGTGAGAAGTTATCCTTCTTTGGCATCGTTTAAAATTAGTTTTTAATTGCATGCAAATAATTAATTACAATAAATTAATAAAAAGTCTGGAAAAGGACACAGTCAATAAAGTTCAGTTTTAATTTGAAAAAATAAATAATCAAAATATTCAATTAAAATCGCTACTGAATATAATTTATTAGAACATATGTGATTTGAACTTGTATGAAACTCAAACACGTATTCCGAATATACAAATTAGAAACATGTGGATAAATATTATAAATATGAATACCTATAACTGTTACTTTATTACAAAAAATAAAGATGTGGTTTTTGGTTCTACTACACCAATGGTCAAGAGATGGCGCTGTAGTCTCCTGAATCGCGCTTTGGTTCCGTTGTTCCAGATTAATAAATACTTTTGATAGGCCTTCACCAGGCAGTCGTTAGCACCCACTAAATAGAGATTCTATTTCTATTTTGTTGGTAGATTTTCTTAATGTACGGTAAACACAAAAGTAACAGCATGAAGTTAAACTAACTTCATGCTGTTAAAATTTTGTGTTACAGTGATGCGCGCGCATCTTAAAATTTCACTCTCATCATTTTTTCATAACGCGCCTAAAGAAGTATAACTTCAAAAACCAACTTATCGCACTAAAATCATTAATAACTGTAACACGAGGAATTTTTGCGGCTCTGTATTACGCGTTAATGGTCTACGCAGACTATAGTCTGTGCGGAAAGAGAATGGGCGTGGCGAAAAACGGAACTAATATTAAGATTTTTATTTGGCAATCAAACCCAGCAATCTGTAAAACGTCAAAGTTTTTTATTGATACGGATTTGTTTGTTGTTGTGATTTCTTACGGTTTTTTTGTATTTAATCATGTTTAAAAGGGTTAAAACCTTACAAATACGGTAGAAAAGCACTACAGCGCCCTCCAATCTAAATCCCATTCTCTTTCCGCACAGACTCTAAGCACTTTTGTCCGCAGAGGACAAAAATCGTTGAATCGTGAAGTCCGCAGAAAACTTGTTACGTCAACGCACACGATATGCAAGCATTTGTGTCCCGAAAATTTGGGAAAGCGCACATTATGGGAGTAGATACGCTCAGATTACGTTGTGTTTTAATTAACATGAAGTTTAAGAAAAAATAGACATTTTGAAAAGTAACAATGAAATATTGGAATAGGTTCATCTCAATGTAGGTCAGCAAAAAGTTTAGCTGACCAAAAATAAGTGGAACTCTCCTTGCTACCGCCGGTTGAAGGGAAATTGCGTCTCGCCAAAAGGAAATTGCACTTTTTTATAAAAATAACGATTTGAATTTTCT